TTTCTGTGTTGGTGTATGTATTTCACTGTGTACTTGCCCAAATGGTTAATGTGTTACTTGTAAGCATGATTGCACATGTATTTGTATTGACATCTCAACCATAAAAAACAAACATGTGCAACAACTAAACTCTCCATATAACACCTTACACATAACACTACTGCACTGGTAACACATGCATCACAGGCACTAAGCCCGCGCATAGCGCGGGTTTCAGCTAGTGCTCTTAATATTCCGTGTATAGTGTGATGGGCAGGAAACCCATCACCAATGCAAAATTGGAGGTCAAAGGGCAGTGGGGGAAAGGTAAGATATCAGACATTTTCTGACGACATGGCCTAGTGGACAGAGTGAAAAACTTTTTTGTTTCAGCGCTGACCTACCATTTTTATCACTTTATTGAAAGGACCATGAATGTGCTTTCCACTGACGTGCGAAGAATAAGTGTCTGAAACCTTTTGACCCTCAAGAGGAGGGTTAAACAGAATTAAATGAAACTAATCAATTATCCTGCAAAATCCCTCTAGAGACAGGGACATACAGGGTGCGAAATTAACGGGAGTCCAGAGTCAAATACTCCCTGATTTACTGTCGGACTCCCTGATTTGACATATGCAGGAGTCCGTGTGACTCCGTGAAAATTCTGCTATACTAACTAGTTCATTCCGGAGCACCCTATGGAACCATGGAACAACCGTATTTTTTTAGCTAATGTCCAAAGAAAATTTGGCAGACGTGCAACCGCATGAATGCCCGTGCTGTACGCGTTCGGCTATTCAGGCTTGTTGGGTTTATAGATTATGGATGTGCCATGAATATGACAACACTGTGACGTCAACAAATCCTTATTGGAGAGTATGTTGCTACTACCATCCTTACCTATGACACTATAGGTTACTGTAGGTTATTAACTATAGGTTATCAACTATAGATTATTATCTATAGGTTACCTAGGTTATTGGAGAGTATGTTGCTATTACCATCCTTACCTATGACACCTTAGATTAATGTAGGTTATTAGCTATTGGTTATTATCACCTATAGATTATTAGCTATAGGTTACCTAGGTTATTAGAGAGTATGTTTCCGCTGCTGAAGGCGCTGCTGTAGTCGCTGTCGTACGATGCGGTGCTGGTGCTCTCCATAGTTCCGAGCGCGCCACGCGACGAGCCGCTAGCTGTGAGGCTGTCCAGGTTCAAGCTGTCATCCTCCTCCCCGTCTGTAACAACCGCAAGATAATACACATCACTCGCACGCACACACAGACATACACATGCACGCACACATGTTCGCACGCATTCACTCACCTACCATTGACTGGAGCTTTTTCATGATTGCCTGAATCCTTGCCATAGTAACCAAATGTTGCAATATTTACAGATAATCTCATTGAAGCTAATTAAAAACATTTATAAACATATGAAATTACTTCACATGAAATTTTCATAATTCGAGTTAACAAGAATTAAATTTGCATAATTAGAATTTAGACATGGCTCCTAGGTAACTTATAGATAATATTCTATAGTTGATAACCTATAGTTAATAACCTATAGCTAATAATCTATAGTTGATAACCTATAGTTAATAACCTACAGTAACCTAGAGTGTCATAGGTAAGGATGGTATTACTAGTAGCAACATACTCTCCAATTACCTAGGTATAGTAAGTAACCTGTCACCACCTATAGTAACGTATATATACCTTTACCATTCTTACCACTTTAAGTGACCTGTAGTAATCTTTGGCTGAGAGTGAGAGGGTCTATGTCCCCCAGGGTACTGCCAGAACGTACCCTGGTACTATCTAATATGTCGGACTGTACCTCGCCTACTCCACTAACGAGTCTAGGGAGTCGCCTACGCCTACTCCCTAACCCTAACCCTAACGGTAACCCTATATCCTAACCCTAATCTTAACCCTAACCCTAACCCTGACCATATCAAATAGTTACCAGGGTACGTTCCGGCAGTACCCTGGGTGACATAGACCCTATGAGCTAAGCTTTGGTAATGTTTAGTAACATAGGTAAATGTTGTAGTGGCAACATACTCTTCAATAACCTAGGTATTATAAACTATAGTAGCCTAGTAACTTAGTAAGGCTTCATGGAGAGATGAGAGAGAGAGAAAATAGAGAAAGAGAAAGGGAGGGAGAGAGAGAGAGAATGAGAGAGAGAGAGAGAGAGAATGAGAGAGAGAGATAGGGAGAGAGAAAGAGAGAGAGAGAATGAGCATGTGATTGATTGACACAGTGCTGTGTATTTCAGGCATCTCTCTCCTTAAGATGGATATCAAAGGTTGGCTTTCTGCAGCTTGTTTGGAGAGAATACAAAGTGATTGTTTTGCAGCGTTTGCTGAGAAACAAAAACACGAGCATTGAAGTTGTGTGCTTGTAGAATTTCGTAATTAGGAAGTGTGAGAGTCGATGTTTTTGTCGTGCCAGTGCTGTGAATGTGCAGCTGCTGCTGCTGCAGACATAGCAGAAGGTGAAGTGATGTGATGTGTTTCACAATAACAGCAGGCAGCAACCACATGCACTTGGGACAGAGTCAGTAAAAACTGAAAATAATATGAACACACATTTACAAATAGGCCCTAATACCGTACCCCTCTGTTACAGTTCCACTGTTGCGTCACTGTATATCAACTTTCCTTCATAAAATTGACGCAGAGCGGGCGGATTTGTTTACGCGTCGCCCTCGACTACCGGGTCCCATCGGAATCGTGAATCGTATACATTTTTGATGAATCAGCACGAACGCCGGGACTTCTGAGTTTGAAGTCGCATTACAAAGCAAGGTGGCACTTATCGGCCTCAGCAGTTACATAGTTTTGTTCAGTGGACTATAGAGGGCAGAACGAGCCCAAGATGGAGGTGGTAGGTTTCAGACAAGTTTGCGAAATGTGAAGTATCGAGGAGTGATCGTCGCAAATCGCGCAAACGGAGTTTCCTACCTTCTCTATATATAGCGTTAGTTTTTACATAGGTTTTTATGAAGGAAAGTTGATATACAGTGACGCAACAGTGGAACTGTAATTGAGAGGTACGGTAGTAGGGCCTATTTGTTAATGTGTGTTCACATTATTTTCTGACTCTGTCCCAAGTGCCTGTGGCAGCAACGTCAACATCATCGTCCCACTTCATTACGATATCACTCGTACTAGTATCGCATTTCTTCTTAGGTTGGATGCAAGAACGTGCAGATTTTCTCCAAGTATTAGATAATGAACTTGAAGAAAATAAAATTAAAGTTTATTTGCATAAATTATCCAACTGAACTCTAATTTACTATGCACAGTGGCTCTTTTAGGAAGCACAGTGGCTGGCATCCCTAGTGTGCCTCCACGCCCTTTCCATAAATCCCATGTAGTGTGTATACAGGGCATGAAATTCAGATTTTTTTGCACCGGCCCAGAGCGGTAACAGCATTTTTTCACCAGCCCTCACAAATTTTGTTTAAAAAAACAAAAACAGTAAGACTGTTTCACTGACTTGCTATCCTAAAAATGTAGTAGTGTGCGGCATCGCATAGTAGCTGTTGAACTACTGCTGAACACAGATCGTGAATACAAATTGTTTTTGTCAATGTCATGTTTCACGCTTGCATTCTCGATTTCAAATTCGTAAAATGTTGATAAATTATGGCGTGATATCCTTCAGGTAAAACAGTAATGTAGGCTAGTTGCTCATTAATGCTATAAATAAAATATAGGTACTCGCTAACACGGCTTAAGGCCGGTGTTTTGTCAATGTTACTGGTCCTCCAAATAATTTGCTGGCATATGCCGGTGGACCGGTGCTAATATCGCGCCCTGGTATATATATAGTAACCATCTCTCTCTCACAGAAGAAGCATTGTTAGAAAGTAAATGGTCCTGATAAACTTGAAGGTTCTGCTCCATTTCGCCGCGGGACCCTAAGATTTCAGGAGCCGTAAGTTCTCCAATTAAAGCGAGGGCAAGTTTTGCAAGGAAGCCATAAACTTCAGGATTAAACATCAATAAACCATTTGCCTCCTCCCCTTAAAAACATTAGAATTTGACAGGTAGTCTCATGGATGGATCATGTTGCTTGCAGGTTATGTGGGACTGGTGAATCAAGCTATGACTTGTTATCTCAACAGCTTGATACAGACACTCTACATGACACCTGAGTTTAGAAACGCTCTCTACAAGTAAGCATCATTGCAAACCCGTCTATTATCCTAATTAGCATTTACGCTTACAACGTGATGATATGTAACAAGTTTACACAATAACGTTTTAACAAGCATATATGAGGGGGGGGGAAATGTTTGTGTGTGACTCGTACTTGAAATTGTATCGATGGTGTTTGCAGGTTATATAAATAATATTATAACACCTTTCGTAAATATTCACTCAGTACAGGCGTATAGATTTATCTACCTGGCCGTATATATACCTGCTCATGTTTTGCGCTTGTGTTGGTAACTACGTGGGGCGATGTTTCTGCCACCAGGTGGGAGTACCGAGGCTCGTCCGAGGACGATGAACCGAAGAGCATTCCCTTCCAGCTGCAGAAGTTGTTTCTGAATCTGCAGACGAGTAAGAAGCGAGCTGTGGAAACGACCGATCTCACGCGCAGCTTCGGATGGGACAGTTCAGAAGGTCAGCAAAGGTCGCGCATGTGGGGGGTGGGTTGTCTGCCGGTGGGTCCGCAGCTGGCCGGTGTTTCCTCGGTTACTGTAGTCGGTGATTACTTTGTTTTGTTGTGTGTTTTGTCGGCCTGTCGTTTTCTCTGTTCACACTCAGTTGTAGGCGGTTATTATTTATTCTATATAATATATCCGTCTATATATCTATATATATGTATATCAGGAGTTAATGAAGACAAAACTGTTTGTCTTCATTAACTCCTGATATATATATATGTATAGATATATATATAGATCATTATCTGTATAGTTCTCTTTATCCCACATAAAAGGTGCTGCTGAAGATAAGTTTATTTGAATAGACTCCTCTGAAAGGCATATTTGAATCAGAGCTCCAGCAACATGCCTTGGTCCCGTAAAATTTCTGATTAAACGTTAAAGCTGAACGTGCCTTGCCCCAAAAGATAAAACTAACGTTCTTTCTGACCCTGCTCTGAAGGGCATATTTTCATCAGAGCCCCAGCAATATACATATCCTGTGTGCTCCCCCCAAACATAAGTCCAACGTTCTCTCTCTCTCCCTCCCCGCACGCGCACGCAGCGTGGCAGCAGCATGACGTACAGGAGCTGTGTCGCGTCATGTTCGACGCCCTTGAGACGAACTTCAAGAACACGGACCAGGCCGACCTCATCAACCAGCTCTACCAAGGTCAGCTGAAGGACTACGTCCGCTGCTTAGACTGCGGCTCCGAGAGCGCGCGCACCGATGCCTTCCTCGATATACCGCTCACCATTCGACCGTTCGGCGCGACGACAGTCTTTAAAAGCGTGGTGCGTATGTCAGCGACCGCAGTTTTGCGTGGATACGAGACGATTAGATATTACGATTTATTTCTCTGGTCAGTCGATATACCCCGTGGAAACAGTATAGAGTTGCAATTTGTATTTGTTGGTCTATGAGAAAGAGTTATGGCTAAGACTATTTAAGACAAATTTTGTTTCTGTTAAACAGGCCAATGATTTTTATTTGTTACAACCAGTTAAATACAGAAGAGAACATGCGCACTTATTAATGTATCTAGTAAAAGACACCATCTGCATCTACCGACAGGATAGATGTAGCGTTGTAACTGATACATGGGCATGAGATTGTTGGCTCAGGTACCGATATATGTGATGTAAGTTTATATGTTTGATGTTTAGGGGGAAGCGTTACAGGCATTCGTGGAACCAGAAACATTAGACGGAACGAATCAGTACTTTTGCGAGCAATGCAACAAGAAATGTGATGCACACAAGGTAATGTTGATATAACTTTCGTATGTGCTTTATTTGTATATTATTATTATATTTATTTTACACGCTTTATTATTATGTGCCACTCAAATGGAGCATTTATAAAACACAATTTCCGTGGTGAAAAAATGATGCATACCAATTGAGAATATTTAGAAAGTATCAGCAACAGGTAGATTACGAAGGTTTAACACGACAACAATATTAATAGAGCCACAATTTCTCTCTGGCATAAATATTTAAGAAGTCGACAGCGACAATGAAACATTGGTTTCACCTCTATGATGTTGTTATATATCTTGCAGGGCCTTGAGTTTGTAAAGTATCCATACATGCTAACGCTACAGTTGAAACGATTCGACTTTGACTACAGCACTATGCACCGGATCAAACTAAACGAAAAGTGAGTTGCAAAACGGTTTCCTGTCGAGATGAAATGAATCCAAGATATTTTCACGGAGTGACAGATTGTAAAGCCTGCCTGCTGTCTTTGTTAAGCTTCATCAATTGTTTTGCTGATCACAACCCAGTCAAAGCTGAAAAAGAATTTAATTTGAAAAAGAATTTGAAGGTCAAGTTAATGAATCATGTGCTCTCTACTGTGTCCATTACAACTTCACAAAGACAGCAGGTAGGCTGTCCAAACTCTCACGCCAATAAATATTTTGCATTTATTTGGAAATAAAATTTGTTTGCGGGACATTAAATCGTATGACATTATTCCAAGAGACGTGTGTTAGAGAATAGTTTGCATGTACAGTGTTACGATGGGAGGCATTCAGTTGCTGAGGTGGGGGATGGGAGGCATTCAGTTGCTGAGGTGGGGGATGGGAGGCATTCAGTTGCTGAGGTGGGGGATGGGAGGCATTCAGTTGCTGAGGTGGGGGATGGTGGGAGGCATTCAGTTGCTGAGGTGGGGATGGAATCTACACATAATGGCGTTTTGAGCTGTAGATGAATGCAACAGTCAAATTTCTGACGTCTTTACTGTTTTTTTTTATTATACAGAGTTACCTTTCCTGAGATTTTGAACTTGAACAAGTATGTTAACATAGAAGAGCCACTATCACCCACCAAGGAATGTCCAGGAAACTTCGACATCGGGGCGCCAACTGCAGGAGAGAATAATCATGATTGTGATGCTAACACCGTAGCATTTGTGACTCCTAATGGACCCACAGAAAATGCACAACTGATAAGCAATAGTGTAGAAACAAGTAACAAACCAGTAGAGGTAAACAAAAATGTACTCTACACATATTTCTCTCTCTTTCTTTTATTATATCCTATTTTTCCTCCCCCTATCTCTCTGTCTATGCATATAAATATTACAACATAAATTATGAATATAGACCCTGTACTGCGCTATATTCTTGATTGGTAAAAAAAAATGTACCCATGTAGCTACGAATGTGCTGTCATTGTTTCGCTGTTAATATTTAACCGGTTTAATATATAACCCCTTCTTTTTTAATATATTAACTGTTAATAATAAGAAAGTAAAATTTTTATATAATATACGTGCATCGCTATTTCGTTTCGATTCAGGCGAAAACGGGGATTTTGGTCGACGTTTCGTCTGACACGAGCAACAATAAGAGCGTTAAGGAGAATGGAGTGGACGAGGGAGTGGAACTCAGCGATAGCGGCGGCCCAGAAGGGGGCGCTGACGTCAAACAGACGACGGAAGAGACGCTAACCAACGACAAGAATGCCGAGCACATGAAAGAAGAAGTGAGCATCTCTAAATATTAGTGCTAGTCAGCGCAGTGTCAGCTTTCGTGACTAGGGAGTGATAGTGGATATAGGGAGATATCCTAGTTAGCAAAAATTACCAAGCACATTCCTAAAATATTATGGCAAAAAATTTCTTGTCGTTACTCTGTGGTAAAATAATGTAATAAAGCTATAGAAAAGAACATGTAATATAGTAAATAACTGGGTTTATACCATAGTAGTTTAGTCAGTGGGTTAATTCATACACCAACACTATTAATAATATTAAATTGTGAGTTTACTGTGTTATTGTAAAGGAAGACTATTGTCTCTTGATATATTGTCAATTAACAGATATAATAACTATCATTAATATTAAATTAGGAGTCTTCTGTGTTTCAGAAGGAAATTTTAATCGTTTTGCATTAAAAAATGCCAGTTGAAGGCAATTAACAAATATGTGTTTGCATTACTCTGCATCATTGCTTGAGCTCCTGTAAGTGTATGAGTGAGTCACTATGATATTACTGTTTTGTTTGCAGGGACCGTGGGTATATGAACTCTTCTCTATCATGATCCACTCTGGTAGTGCTGCGGGCGGACATTACTATGCCTACATAAAGTAAGTTGTATCCACCTTTTCGGTAACTGTGTTTTTGCCGTCTTCTCCTGTAACAGTGTGGCAAAAAGGTGTGCGTTTAGGCGTGGGTGGTATGAGTCACTCTCAGGGTTATATCCTAGGTTTTTACTTTGCTGCGCGTGAATGTTTGTATGCTTGACTCTCCGTGTTGCGGTTTTTCCGAGGTATTATGTAATTTTTACCGATGATTTCAGCTGTTAAATATGTACGGTATGCTTGCATTTGAATGAATTCTAGCAAAGTAGTCTAAGATTTTCTTTAGTTTTGGCTGTGACTTTGGAGAGGTCTTCTTAAGACGGAGACTAGGTGAAGGCAGCCTAGTAGTTCCAGGGGTCGAATAAACTGGTAGTTTGCCTCTCGAAAAGTAACAGAAATATACTTTTCTATAGATTTATTGGGTTTTTATGGTAAAATGATTAGCAAGGTGAATAGCTGCTAATTATAGCCCAAAGTTTTTCTGCTTTCTCGCAATAGTGTCCTATTAGCAAATTGGAAAAATACATAGGTACATTTGATTAATAGTTTGTTGTTTCCTGTGTCAGATCTGCCTATCCGGTAATATGATAATACTATAAGTTGGTACGTTATGGTTTGAGTGATGAGTAACTGTAGTGTTTAAAATGGAGGTCAGCTGAAACATTAACTAACTGGTCCACGAACATAAACAGAAAGTAGGACAGAAACGTATTGCGTATACACTGTGAGCAGATTGGCAGGAGCTTGTGAATAAAGCAGCATGGTGGTTGGAACCGATTTTATTGTCTGAGCATTAATGTGGTTTAATCCGGTAGTAAAGTCTACACTCTGTAAGTGGGTTGAGGTGACGATTCTATGCCTCGTGTGACTGCAGGTCGTTCACGGATGGACAGTGGTACTGCTTCAACGATCAGAGCGTTCAGAAGATCACGTACGATGACATACGCAAGACGTACGGCGGTGGGGCGGGTCGAGCGTCCTACACCAGCACCTACACCAGCTCAACGAATGCTTACATGCTCATGTACCGCCAGATAGACAAGTCACGCAACTCAGGTATGCCCGGCTGACGAACACGCCCATGTATCAGGTCCTCTGTCTCTCTCGCTCTCTATCTCTTACTCTCTCTCCCTCTCTGTTTTCGTACACACGTGCCTATGCATTTTCCCTCTCTCTCTCTCTTTCTCTAGCTCTCTCTCTCTCTTTTTCTCTCTCTCTCTATATATATATATGTGTGTGAGACCACACTCAGTAACCCCCGCATCTCTCTCTCATGTATGTGAGACCACACTCACTCACTAACCCCCCAACATCTCTCTCTCTCTCTCGCTCACACAGAGCCGATGCAGCTAGACACGTTTCCGCAGCATCTCGCCACGCTGCTGAAGCGAATCAGCGATGATTGCGACGAGTACGAGAAGCAGCAGGAAGCCAACCTGAACACGTGCCGGTTGAAGGTGTTCTGCCAGCATCCGATGGAGGGAAAGATGGTCGACAAGAAGCTACACATACACGCCGACGACACGCTGCAAGATGCGACCGATAGAGCTTACAAGGTCAGTGATAGAGCTTAGAAGGTCAGTGATAGAGCTTACAAGGTCAGTGATAGAGCTTACAAGGTCAGTGATAGAGCTTATAAGGTCAGTAGCTCTTGATACAGCTTACCACAAACTGTAGATACAACCCAGAGATCAAGACAGTAGACCATAGACTATAGATTTAGACTGCAGATACAGACCATGGGCCTAGACCTATACAGACCTAGACCTATATATATAGTATATAATTATACTATATATATAGTATATAAGTATATAGTAGTATATATATTAGTATAGATCTATACCCTGTATATTGACCAATACTGTAGAGCAGGGGTTCTTAACCTGTGGTCCACTGACCCCAAAGGGGATGGACTTCACGGGGTTCGTGAACCAGGCGCACAAACATTTTGTGTTTATGTGCTTATGTGCGTTTTTCTGGGGCGGGGTCTGTAGCTTTCACCAGATTCTCAAAGGGGTCCATGACTCAAGAAAGGTTAAGAACCACTGGGCTAGAGCTAGCCAGTACAGCTTGTAGCTCATTGTTGCAGCTGCTGGATCTAGAGGGCGTAGTGACGCGCGACCAATGTCGTCTGCTCAAGTACGACGAATACCACGACAACATCGAGGAGAGCTTCCAGCAGAAAGAGGGCGCCACCGAGCAGGAGGAGGAAGAGCGGACGATGTCCGATTACCTCGGGGGAGTGAAGAGCTCCTACAAGTTTGATTTGATGATGGAGATTCGACGACCGGACCAGAAGTTCCAGGTCTACGAACCAGGAGGTAACTGTCATTCCACCGAGGCAGATTACATTTAATCTTAATCGCCTTAATTTGAGCTGCGTGTGTAATATCCATATTGTAATATAGTTTTCATCCCGTGATTGCAGGCGAAATCATTACTTTGCATGCAGCACTTTTTGTATCTAATATTTAGCATTATGTGAATATATAATTTTTTATCTGATAATTTAAATTTGATTGATGAGATATTAAATCTAGGTGTACGCTGGATCCGGGAGGTAACCGCTGCTGTCCTGTGTTCTGAATCTTCATTTCTACCTCGACGTTTTCTATAGTGTCAGGGTTTCTTATACATGAGAGGCACAGTGGTGCACCGCCGCTGTCAAATTTAACATCGCCGTTGTGAAAATGTTCCTGTATTTACCCGCCGTTGTCAAAATAGTGTAAATATGTTGGGGGAGACCCCCCAGAACCCCCCCCCCCTAGTGAGAGGGGGAGTTCTCCCTCTCCCCCTGCATCCGCCTGCAGCGTCCGCACGCGTACCTATGGCACGCCTTTGAATCCATCATGTACGTTTTTTTCCCAAACTGGCCATTTACCTCCTTTGTCTAATTTTTCCTCAGAAGAAACCCTGAGTGTGTAGCTGCATGAGAGGTTCTGAGTAATTTCACGTGGAATAGCGTTCTAATCTATCATCGGCATTACCCATCAGTGTATTCCACTGAGAATGTTTCCTCTAGTTTTCACTAGTTAGACATTAAAGGGACTACGTCACGAATTTTCTATGGTAAAATGTTTGTTGTCATTTTTTTACATTAAAAGTAAGAACTAATGGGACTAAACGTATCGTCACATTCTTACCTGATAAGATTGTTTCTCCACTAGTTTAAAATAAAAAAAACCTAGACGATTTGATATTAGTGTTCCTAACATTAATTGCTTGCTATGGGCTATGTATGAGTTACGAGTGTATGTTCACATCGAACAATATAATAAAATAAGAAGTATAAATGCAGCAATTTAACCATAAAAAGTGAACAAAAGTACTTATATTTTGTGAAAAAGTGGAAATATTATTTTTATTTTTTACTATTTACGGTGACGTAATCACTTTAAGGCCACGAGTTGGTCAATTGAGTTTTCCCCTCCCCAGATAAATTGAGCAGTTATGGAGCTGTATTGGATGTTCGTGGTGTTATGTAATTAACAAATCTCTTAAAATGATGTAACCACACCCTCTCGCTCCAATGACATCCGATTGCGATGACTGTGTGTTTGATGACGAGTCGTAACGGTGGTTTTGCTGGGTTTTGCAGGCATCTCCGTGAAGCTCCACATAGTCGATCTCGTGTCGGAGACGATTCAGCCTCCGTTCAATCTCCGCGCTCAATCCTCGAACACGCTTGACGAGTTCAAGGCCATCATATCTGAGGTAGCGTGGTTGCGATGTAGCTTCTTGTTTCTCGATTCGCCGCCCGATTGACCACCGCCTGATTGATGCCTACTAACCGGAAATTGGGGCAATTTGGTCATCAACGTTTTAATTAAAATTAAAATGGATTTTTGGTTGTCCAATATGGCGACACTTCATTGCCCCTGAAGATATATAATTCCACCCCTGATTCCACATTGTTTCAGCGCATACTGTTACATTAACATTGAGATGAGAGCATTTTAAAAAAACATTCAACATTTAAATTAAAATCGATTTTTGATCGACTGATATTGTGACACTTGCCCTTTCTCTGAAAAGTACAATATTCTATCCCTGAGCTAATTTAGAATCGATACATCGAACAGAGACGTGTATGTGCAGGTCTCTGGGTATTATAAGATATTGTAATAATAATAATAATAATAATGATAATAATAATCATAACACTGACGTGTGTCCCTGTAGGTGACCGGGTTGCCGACCAATCCCATGCGTCTGGTGCTGGAGAAATACTCGGGGGAACTACGTTACCTTCACGATCCGGAGAACATCAACTCTCTCCGCGGCCTGGGATTCTTCCGCAGTGAGAAGGTGAGCATCTCTCTCCGCTCGCAAACATATGCGAAGACTGCCTGTGATCGAAAACTGTGTGAGGTGCAAGGGAGGATAATTGACCTCCACTCGCGAATTGATGCGAACAGTAGCCAAAAACAGATGTCAAAAATCACAGCTGTTATGAACTGTAGATGCAAAAATATTTGAGGTGCAAGGGAGGAGAATTGATAAAAGTTTTCGAGCCTCTATCCTTGCATCTCATATATTTTTGTATCTACAGTTCATAACAGGTGTGAAAACTGTGAGGAGCAAGGGAAGAGAGTTGAAAAAGGTTTTTGAGCCTCCACCCTTAAATCTCACACCTGTTATGAACTGTAGATGCAAAAAAGATTTGAGGTGCCTGGAAGGAGAATTGAGAAAGGTTTTTGAGCCTCTACCCTTGGACGTCACACCTGTTATGAACTGTAGATATAATAAGATTTGAGGTGCGAGAGAGGAGAATTGAGAAGAACTGTAGATATCATAAGATTTGAGGTGTAAGGAAGTAGAATTGAGAAATGTTTCTGAGCTTCTACCCTTGCACATCACGCCTGTTATGAACTGTAGAGACAAGAAGGTTTGAGGTGCGAGAGAGGAGAATTGAGAAGAACTGTAGATATCAAGCCTGTAAATCAATACGTTTGATTCTCAGATTTCAAATGGCTGCCTATGATACTTTCGAAATAGCCATTGATGTTAACATATACACTGTAGTTCACAATACTACAACTGATCGTTAAATGTAAACGACTATATCTGAGTGCTCAAACACCCGTAGCAACATTGTTGACGTCAATTTTTAACCGATTCGGGGCGATAATTGGCTTGGGCAAACAATGTGTGTTGGCCGGCCAATTACCAGAATTTCGCACCCTGATTCTCTGTGTTTTAAGCAAAGGTGCAGTGAAAATGGGAGCGAACTCTGAGGTTTATTCTGGCTCATAAGGTAGTGTGATTCTATGCATGTAACGCGAAGTATTTTTCTATAGGTCAGTACAAGTATTGGAGAAATTAGCAGTGTAGAGCGCATATTGTGCTTCTAATAGGCCTTCACTCTGGCTCAAGGCGTATTTGTTGGGAGCGAAGTCCTGTCGGATCGCATAATGTGATCGCCGGATACCGACCAAACAAAACGGCAAACTCGACTTCACTGGTTCACGTTTTGCTGTGACCTATCACGGGAAGGTTCATAACAAAGAACAAGCTGTGATTGGCTGAGGCGTGGGCCGCCATATTGGATCCCGTTTGAATCCACCTCTCTAGCAGGATCGGGTTCGGTGGATCGAGATCAAGTGATCCGACCAAACAAACAGTCAGATCAACGAATCCATTGGATCGAGATCCGTGGATTTGACCAAACAAACGCGCCCCAAGTCGTTTCCTGGAAATACACGCGCATTGTGCTTTCTGCCATTACCTTAGCTTTGCACCCCCCTACCATCGCTCAGTGTTATAATGTGTTTCTATGCATTTTGTATCTGGCATGTCTCCGGTAAATGGAACAGCCTAGTCAGACAGGCGCTGTCTGCAAGGTGTCGCATAGTTTGTCTAGTAATTTCCCAGTTAATGTTTTGGTCTAGGTAAACCCCAAGATATTTCAAGTAGGATTTTCTTTCAATTTCACAGACATTGATGTTTATGTTGGCCTGTATTTTAGGGGAAGATACTACCATGTAGTTGGTTTTCTTGAAATTTTACATGTTATGTGTTTGATGAATGTACATCATATGTGCAGCTTGAGTGATCTTCGTTACCTGAATTTTCAGTAAAAAATTACTTTGAAACTATCATGTGTCCTTGAAGTATTAGTAATTTGCAATAAATAATTAATCCTATATTAAGGAAGCCATTTCTTCCTTCTCAAGTTCTGAAAATACCAGTTCATGTTAGATTTCGTTTTGATACTAAATATTATTAAAAATTAGGTGTGGTGGATTGGGTTTTGAAAAGTGGCAAATCGTTACTCAGAATGCACCAGATGACACCTGAAAATCAAAATTTTCTTGGGAGGCCAAAGCCACCCTTGTATGTTCGGCGCCTTCGGACTGCACGCCTTACCGATCACCGCGGGAACATTCCGCATTTGGAGTTTACAGGGTAGGAGACCCTGCGCTCTATTGTCATTCTGTCTGCCACTACCAGCATTATGAATGCTCTATTGTTGTTTCTCGCCACCAGGTGTACGTCGATTGTTCGGGAGTCGAGGACTCGCCTAACTTTGAAGAGTCGCGGCTGCACAAACTGCTAGATGAGTTTGGCAATACGATACGAATCACAATAGTGCTTCCGCCGGGTAATTCTCGAATCTCTTCTTAATTCCTAATATCAACCGTTTGTTAATTCTGCCACGTTGTCTAACCCTGGAGCTAGTGTGCATCACAATTATTAGGTTAGTTAACTATGTTAATCGTACATACCTGATTAAGTATGTAACCAGACACCTCTGTAGAATGAACGTTTGTCTGTCTGAAAATGTTGGCAGCATTTTTCATTAAGTGATCATTATAATTATATGGGGTTGACAGTTATACATGCATGTGTATATATGCGCCTATATGTTCTCTCTAAGTCTAAGGATAGGATGTGTGCATGATTATTCTGTCGCGTGTACAGGTTTGAGTGTAAGTAAAATTTATAGTTGACTTAATATTATGGTATCGTTAGGAAATTAAAAAGTCCAAAAACAACTTTTTCGCTAATCCTTGTTTCTGTGTTTCAGCGTCGGAGTGTGACGAGCTCATGCAGACTCTCCAATCCCTCGGTTTCCTCGACGACAACCCAGCACTGGACCGATGCACCCCTGCCCCCTCCACCCCGCCCGCCGCCCCGCCCTGCAGCAGCAGCACCCTCGTCCCCTCCCCCGCGGACTCCTCTCACGATGCCATCCTGTACGCCTCCTCCCCCTCCCCCGTCCCCGCAGCCACCGACGTCAAGCACGAGACGCAATCGATCGACTCGGGCGTGGCGAGCGACGCATCATTGATCGCTGGCGGCGTGGCGGCGGCGGCAGATGGAAGCAGCAGCAGGGAGAGCGGAGGGGAAGCTTCCTCCTCCTCCTGCTCCTCCTCCGCACGCTCCTCCTCCAAGACCTCGGAGTCTCCCGGGACGGACACACCGACGCTCACGGAGACCGTCGCCACGCCGACGTCCACAGCGGAGTCGTCGCCCGGCAACAGCACGGCAGAGGCGGTCCTCACCCCCGGCAACCATGCCGCAGAGTCGGATGTCACGCCTGGCAGCAGCCCCAAGAAGATTAAGAAGACGAAGCGTGAGAAGGAGGCGGAGGCGACGAGCGAGTCCGCGGCGACGGTGGCGCCCCCTGCAGCCGCCGACATCGCCGGCGGAGATGGGAAGCACGTGGGGAAGCAGGACGTTGCTGCGGCGACGTCCGACGACGCGGCGTTGCCAGGCGCGCAGACGCATCACAACACGAACAATAACAACGACGCGAAACCGCCGCCGGCCGCCGCTGCGAAGAAAACAAAAGATGCGGCGGCGCTGAACGGAACGATGGTGCCCTCGCCGACGACTTCGCCCAAGAAGACGGTCAAGAAGCTGGTGAAGAAGAAGAAGAGTGGGGATTCGACTGAGAAGAAAGGCGAGGCGGCCAAGAAGGTGACAACTGTGGCGGCGGCGGCGGCGGACAATGGGAAATCCGGGACGGATCCCGCCCCCGAAAAATCCCTCGTCGCCAACGACGATACCTCGGACGCGTCTCGAGATAGATCCGCTTCGTCGTCGTCGTCGTGCGAGAAGAAGAATCGACGGCCATCCGTCGATGACAAGAAAACAGACAAGAGAACAGACAAGAAAACAGACGACAAGAAAACGGACGACAAGAGAACAGACAACAAGAAAACAGACAAGAGAACAGACAACAAGAGAATGGACGACAAAAAAACGGACGACAAGAAAACAGACGACAAGAAAACGGACGACAAGAGAACAGACAACAAGAGAATGGACGACAAAAAAACGGACGACAAGAGAACAGACGACAAGAAAACAGACGACAAGAGAACGGAAGACAAGACAACG